TGAGGCTGCTTCTGAGGACTTCCAACCTCATTGAGTTCAAAGCATGCCAAAGCACCATAGTTTGGGGTATTGTTTTCTGAGTCCCAGCAAGACTAAACTGCACTGGGTAGAATTAAATGGCTTTGTTTTCTCAGTCCCTGTCTTCAGGTGAGCTCTGTCAAAACTCCTTTTTCTGTCCAATAAGGACATCTCAGGCAAGTGTCCAGTCCAGTTGAAAACTTCAGTCTCATATCCAATTAATCACTTATCACCTCTGCCCTCTGCCAGACCAGGCAAGGCCTCTGGGCCCTGCAAAGAGGTGAGGACAGGATCTGCCATCTCCCCACCTCCCTCTGCTGAGTTTCTTTCTCCCATGGGGGCTGGACTGGGAGGAGAGGGTGGGAGAGGGGAGCACTTACTCATCACATACTGGCCCGGTACTGCCGTGCCTCTCTCAGCCGCCACCGCACCCCCAGTGAGGCCATCTATGTGGATAATGCCCCAATGCCACTCTCTGGGGCATGGGTGGATCCTTTGCCAAGGTTTTCTGAGCTGTGTGGCTGCAGAGTTTGCTGATGTGTGCCATATCCCTCCCCTGCCGCACCTGCTCCTATGGTCCAGCCCAGGGTGAGCACCAGCAATAGCTCAAACCAGATCCTTTCTGTGGTGTCCTGGCCAGACCAAACACTGCAGGCTGCTCCCTGGCCAGCTCCTTTCCACCTGCCTCTATCCCACCAGAAATGAGGTGCCAGCCTCCCCTTCTTACAAGCACCCCAGAGTACCTCTCTGGCTTCAGAAGGGACGGTACCCCCGCCCCGCCCTTCCCCCTGAGGAGAAGCAGGGACAGCTGCAGTGCTTTGCCCCAGGCCAACAGCTCACCACCTGCCCTCTTCTCTGTGCCCATCTTCTGCTTACATAGTTAGGGAGAAGCTAATCAGACAAATTTGTCCCCTTGCGACTAACCCCTAGTGGGGGTCTGGTTCCCCTACTATTTTCTGCTCTTTGCACTTGGTGTCTCTTTGTGGGGTGGTGGGGACAGCCCCTCTGAGCCAGGGGCTGCATCCTGACATCCTCCCATCAGAGTGCTGGTGTGAGGGACTCATAAGAGGAAGTGCTTGGAACAGCAGCGTGTCCTGGCTGGCTTCGTCCTTGTTGTCACTCACTACTGCCGTCCCCAGGGCCTCTGTGCTCTGCTCACTCTACAGTTGTCTCTCTCCATCCAGACTCTCCCTGCCTGGCTCACTCCTGCTACGTGTCTTCCAGAGCAAATCAGATCCTTCCACTCTTCTGCTTACAATGGTGCCCTTCAGGTTAAGGCAAACTCCACAGGATGGATGTCAAGGCCCTCCCCGTGTGGGGAGGGGACAGGGTGAGCTGACGATGAGCCTGAGGCTCTCCAGGTCACCCAACTGGAGCGGCCACGCATGTTCTCAGCTGGCTTCCTGGGTGTCGGATGCTGCGCTGCTCACAGATCACCTTACAAAGGGGGAGCAGCAGGGGTTAGAGTCCCTCTCCCAGAGCTCAGCCCTGTTGTGCAGACAGCTGCACCCAGTTCAAGCATGCTTCTCCGCAGGACGCTAAAGAGAGCAACCCTTATCCCGCCTGTGAGTGTGAACCTTCACCGAGGCCACTGTGGCTTGCCTGAGCCCTGTGCTCACCTCCCAGGGTTACCTCCCAGAGCTCACGTTAGCTCTCACCTGTCTTCTGCACTGACGCTTGCACATCACTATGCTCCAGCCTCGCCAACATCTCCTGGGTGATGCTGCTCCTTCTGCGTGGAAGCCTCTTTCATTTCTTCCCACACTGCTCCTGCAACCTTCCGGCCCTAGGCTCACCTCCTCTGCTCCCCTGAGGATTTAAGCACAGCTGCAGCAGCGTACTTTTCACAGGGTGGTGGGCATGGACCACAGAGAACCTCTGGCCCCACTCCAGGAGCTCCAGGTTAGTTGAAGATACTGATAGGCAAAGATGCAGCAGGATAACGCAAGTAAGTACTGGAGAGTGCACAGGTTCCCTGTGGGGCGGCAAGAGGAGTGGCTCTGCTAAGGCCTAGAGAGGAGGCCTCTGCCAAGGGCAGGCCACCTGCATCCGGTGCCTGGCAGCTGGAGCTGCATCCTCCTCCCCACCCCCAGGTGACTCCTGCTGACATGACCATACCAGCCTGGGGTGGGCAGAGGAGCCGCTGTCCACTTCCACAGTGGCCCCAGCGAGGATGCAGCAGCCTTCCCATGATACCCATGGCACAGGCAAGGCTGGATCATTCAGGTAAGTCTCTACCAAAGGCTTCCAAGAGAAGGGGAGTAGCGAAATAACAATATTAATAATAGTACAACCAACATTTATTGTTTACTGTATTCCAGGAGGTGCTTCTACATACTTTATCAATATTAACTTACTTAATTTTCACTAATAAGACTGTTATATGGATGCTGTTGTTATACCCATTTTATAGATGAGGAAACTGAGGTTCAGGAAGACTAAGGAACTTGCCTGTGGTCACATGACTAATGTGGCAGAACCAGAATATAAGCCCAGTCAGTTTGTTCCCAAGCCCTCACTTTTTAATTTTTTTTAACTTTTTTTATGGAAAAATTCAAACATAAACAACAGTAGAAGGATATAACTGTAATAAGACCTCCTCTACCTTTCACTGACTTCAACGACTATCCACACACGGCCAACCTTGTTTCACTACATGGCCACCCCCTCTACTCCTCTGTTATTTTGAAATCAATCCCAGACATTATATTATTTCACTCCAGAATGTTTCAGAATTTCCTGAAAGATAAGAACTCTCTTTTAAAAATATATATATGTATAGTTACAACACTATTATCTTGCCTAAAAAATTAACAGCACTTGCTTAATATTGTTAAATATTTAGTTACTGTTCGAATTTCCAGTTGTCTCACAAATGCCATATTGTTATCACAGCTTCTTTGAATCAGAATCCAAATAACTCTGTCTCTCCTGCTCTCTCTCTCCATCTCTCTTTCTTTCCTTCTGTCTCAGCCCTGCAATTTAATTACTGAAGAAACTGGATTGATTTTCCTCTTAAATTTCCCACAGTCTGGATTTTGTTGATTGCAACCCCATGGTGTAGATTACTCATTCCTCTGTTCTCTGTATTTCTGTAAATTAGTAGTTGGATCTTGATCAGACTTGGGTTAGGATTTTTGGCAAGACTATTTCAAAGGAGGTATGGTGCTCTTCCCTGGGAAGGCACATGATACCTAATTGTCTCTTTTCGTGGTGGTAGCAGTGGTTGACGCCCAGTGCTTAGATCTCTAATTCACTGGTGGTTGCAAAATGGTGATATTCCAATTCTATCATTCCTTCTTCACTTACTCTTATACAGAGACACTCCTCCTCCTCTACTACTTAGTTATCCAGTGCTACAATTTATATAGAAAGGAGGTTTTATTCCTTTCCATTATTTACCAGTTTTCATAGAGTTTGTTTACTGGCATCCTATATTAGTCAGCATTTTCCTGAGAGACCATTAGGAAATAGAGATAGAGATAGAAATAGACAAATACATGAGAGGGGATTTATTAAGAGAATCAGCTCACGTGATTACGGAAGTTGTGAAGTCCCACTACAGAACGTCTGTAAGCTGAAGGCCTTGGGATGCTGGTAGCGTGGCTCAGTCCAAGTCCTAAAGCCTTAGAACCAAGGATGCTGATGGTGTAATTCTCAGTCTAAAGCCAAAGGCCTGAGAAACCAGGCACTGCTGGTTTAAGTCCTGGAGTCCTAAGGCCAGACAGCCTGGAGTTCTGAAGAAGAGAGTGTACCAGCTCCAGGGGAAACAGAGAGAAAAAAATTGCCTTTCCTCTGCCTTTTTTGTTCTATCTGGGCCCCCAGCCAATTGGATGGTGCCACCCACACTGAAAGCAGATCTTCCCCACTGACTCACATGCCAGTCTCCTCTGGGAACACCCTCACAGACACACCCAGAAGTACTGCTTCACCAGTTCACCAGGTGAAGTCAAGCTGAAACCTAAAATTAACCATCACACATCCTCTATAGAGATCAATTAAATTTGGGTTTCTTGGGAGTTTTGTATATTTTTGTTTTTGCAGTATCATTTCAAACTTGTGGTATATCTGATGGTTTCAATTCATTGTAATCATTAGGATTACTGATGTTCAAATTATCCCACCTTTGGGCCGGCCCGGTGGCGCACTGCTACAGTGCACCGCTTGGGAGCGCGGCGGCGCTCCCGCCAAGGGTTCGGATCCCACATACAGACCGGTTCCCGCTCACTGGTTGAGCGAGGTGCGGGTGCAGCACCGAGGGTTGCGATCCCGTTGCCGGTCCCGGTTCGGTACGGGTGCGACACTGAGGGTTGCGATCCGTTGCCAGACACGAAAAAAGACAAAAAGGAAAAAAAAAAAAATTATCCCACCTTTGGCCCAGAAGGAGCCTGTTAAAGTCACTCGGAATCCTTGCAACATGGTCCTAGTATGATTTGGGAGTTTTCTTGTATTGTAATAAGATAAGAGGTTGCAGGCCCCCAACCCTCTCTTGACTCCACACAGAGATCAGTGATGGCCCCTGCATATCTCTCTAGGCAGCTGATATTTGGTATGACACATTTATTCACCTCTTGGCAGAGCATGGGCGAGAGTCATGCATTGGAATACGGACCATTCAGTATCTCTCAGACGCAGCAAGCAGCTCTCCACGCCCCACCCCCGCTATCTATACAGATGTTCCCACTATCTCCAGGGCCTCCTCCACACCCACAGACCCTCCTACATCTCATAATATGGTTGAAACTGTCAAGCCTAGAAAAGGTCCCTTGATCAGTGATTTCCTGTGTCCACTGGATTTGTGGGTCCCATAAGCCACGTGGCAGGACCTCCACCTTTCCCAGGGCTGCCCCTCTCACCGTCTCTTTGGGGCACCATCTGCCTTCACTCTGCTCCTCACACAAATGCCATCTACATCAGTCCCCTGGGCTGCTGACATAGCTTCTGGGCTGTCCACCGAGACAGGCCATTCACACTTGACTCACGTTGGGGCTTCTGTTCTCTCTGCTGCTGCGCCCGCTGGGGTCTCCTGACTGCTGGCTTCTGGACCTCCTCCTTCATGGTCAGGTCCAGCTCTCATCTCTCTGGGAACTGAGCTGCCACTCAATGGTTGTGGTCTGACCCTGGCCTTAGGTGCCCCTTGGGGACTGTGGTCTCTGCCACCACAGCCAGGTGTTCTCAGGCCCTGGCCACACCAGGCTATCATCTTTCCTCCTCATGTCCTGATCCTCTGCCGGGGATCCACTGCACTGCCCCACTCTGCGCTATAACATGGATGCACCAGAAGAAGCTGAGCTACTGCTCCTGGGAGGAAACGGAGCAAGGCCCACTCCCCCTTTCCAGGCTATCAGAGGAAGAACCGGGGGATGGGGGCTGATCCTGTCTTGCAGCAGGTAAGGTGCTCATGCAATTTGAGAATATTCTCAAACCCTGAGGAAAATTGGGCTAGGTGGCCCTGCCTGCCAGGCTGTGACTGACACCTGCATTTCCCACTTAGGCGGGGGGTGAGGGGTATCTGTGGGTCAGCACACTACCAAATCTTGCTCCTCCCTGGGTGACCATTAAGATCAATGAGCCGAAGCTGCAGGCTTAATCTGGAGCAGCCTTAGAAGGTATTCCCACAGTGCTGATCAGGCAATGGAGGCTTTGGATCTCTCTGAATGGAGACGCCAGAGACTAATTTCATACCTACCTCGATCTCCTTCCCCTCTGCAGCAGGCCCCCATCCCCAGCTAGTTAATCGAAAACATCCTGACCACCTAACATGTGCCAGGCATTCACTCCGTGCTGGGGACACTGCTGAGCAGTGGGAGGAGTAGGTGACCCATGAGCTGGCTGCCTATACTTGTGCCCCACCAGCTCCTGAATTGTAGGGTCACTTCCAGGCAGGGCAGCTGAGCCACACTGTCAGGTAGTTCTTTGACACTCCATAGAATTGCCCCCACGTCCCCCCTCTGCCCCATTCTTCATCATTTTGGAGACTGCAGGCAGCTTTGTGAAAGCCTCCTGGTCCAGCCAGCCTGGTTGCCAACTCCCCGCAAGTGTGCTCTTGACCAAACACCCATCATCACAGGCATCCATGCTGGGGGGCCAGTGACTCATAACACCACTCACTAAGCCACACTTCCAAGACTAGATTAAAAAGCTAAACACTCTCTCATGGATTGGAAAAAAGCCCACACTACCCAAAGATTCAATCTAATCCCTATCAAAATCTCAAAGGCATTTTTTGCAGAAATAGAAAAAAAACTTAAAATTTATATGGAGTCTCAAAGGACCCCAAATAGTTGAAACAATTTTGAAAAAGAACAAAGTTGGAGACTTCACTCATCTTGATTTCAAAACATACTGCAAAGCAACAGTAACCACGTTGGTATGGTACTGGTGTAAAGACAGCCATGTAGACCAATGGTAGAGAATATAGAGCATACGTGGTCAAATCATCTTCAACGAGGATGGAGGCTACTTGCTGGGGAAAGGACAGGCTCTTCAACAAATGCTGTTGGGAAAATTGGACAGCCACAGGGAAAACAATGAAGTTGGACCTTTATATCACATATAGAAATTAATTCAAAATGAATTAAAGACCTAAAGGTAAAACCTAAAACAAACAACTCCTGGAAGGAAATATAGAGCTCTCGTCTCTCTCTGCACCACCATTTGCCATGTGAGACCTCTGCATTGCTGTAAAGCCACCACCAAAGACTTACCGGTGTGTTCCCTGGACTTTGGACTTCCTAGCCTCTGAAACTGTCATGGGCTTGGGTTGAGCTGGGAGCTCTGAGCCACACAACAATCGCCACCTGATGATGCTGCGATGATGTCACAAGTGGAGCTCGCTCCTCCCCCACCGCCAGCTTCCTCAGGGCTGGGCAGAGGAACCAGAGAGAAAATCCACTTTCTCAAGCACAGCTTTACCATCCACCTCACTCACTCCCTGTCAAGTTCACTACCAGCACAAAGGGGCCCAAATAATCAAGAAATGATGTCGAGTGATAATAAAATTAAATCTAGTGACAAAAACAAACCTACTCACCCCAGGATTGAACCCAAGACCTTTGATCCCAGGTGTGAACAGAAGAGTGAGATGCCAGCCCAGCTGTTTAAAGAAGCTGCTGAAACACTGCTCTGAAAAGAGCCCACAGGAGAAGTGTCCAGCACCAAAGTGCCCGCCGCCCTGCCTGTGCCCTGTGTCCTGCCCCCAGCCGTGCCCTCCACTGTGCCCCCCACTCTGCTCTCCCAAGCCCTGCGTCAAGCCCTGTCCTCCTAAATGCCCACCTCTCTGCCCACCCTCCTGTCCATCCCTCCATCCACCCCCAGAATGAGGCACTGTGGTCACCACCCAACCCCACGCCCACCACCATCTCCACCACATGCAACGCCGTGGGGCTGAAAACTGAAACCATGCACACTGACAAGTGAGCATGTTCCTCTGCTGTGCAAGGCTTCTCCTGGTGTTTGGCGGGTTTGGGGGGTTTTGTTGTTGTTGTTTTACAGCACTAAACCACCAAGAAGCCATCCCCGGAGAGTGAGGCTAGAACCCCCCACTATCAACAACCTTTGAGGACTGGCTTCCCCTCTGACCCCACCTGCTGCTTAGAGGGATGTGCTTTCTTCTGTAGGGTGTGCCCAGGGAACACTGGCCTCTGTTAGAGCATAGCCTGAGAGATCCACAGACATGGCTGCAGTTGTAAAATGTCTAACGGCAGGAAGCAGGAGGGAGTGGGAAGAGGAGTGGGATGTTCAGGAAAAAACATTCTAGTCCCCTTTGCTGTTAGTCCCGTTGCATAGTGTTTAGGCAGAGGGGCTCTGAGTACAGGCTGCAAAGGTTTAAAGCTTAGCTCTGCTCCCCAGCAACTTTGTGACCTTAAGCAAGTTGCTTAACTTCTCTGTGCCTCAGTTTCCTTCACTCTGCAAAAAGAATGATGATACTAATAGTACTGTTGTTACAGGGTTGTAGTGAGGCTTAAAGAGTTAACAGATTCCACGTGCCTGGTTTACTGGAACATAGCCAGTGCTCAGTGAAGGGAGTACCCTGCACCTGCCCAGGTGTAACACTCGCCACACCTCAGCTTAATAGTTCTGTGCTTCTCTTCTTCGTCAGGCTGTATGTCTGTCTCCTGAGCACAATAGTCAGGTTCTAACTTACACCTGTAGGCACACAGCTAACCATTTTTTTTAAAAATGGAAAAAGCATTGTGGATTATACCAGTTTCAATGACCTGACTTTGATACTGAACTATAGCTGCATAACATCACTATTGAGAGAATCCCACTGAAGGGGACATAAGACCTCTACTTTTGCAACTTTGTGAACCTACAATATTTTAAAATAAAAACTTCAGTACAAAGCAAAAAAAAAGAAAAAAAGAAAAGAAAATATAGGAGAAAAGCTCCAGGACATTAGATTTGGCAATGATTTCTTAGATATGACATCAAAAGCATAGGCCACAAAAGCAAAAATAGATAAATGAGACTATATCAAACTTAAAAACTTTTGCACACCAAAGGAAACAATCAATAGAGAGAAAAGACAACATACGGAGTGGAAGAAAATTTGTAGATATTTTATCTGATAAGGGGTTAATATCCAGAATATGTAAGGAACTCCTACACCTCAACAACGACAACAACAAAAACGTAACCTAACTTTCAAAATGTGCAAAGGACTTGAAAAGACATAAGACGATATACAAATGGTCAGCAGGCATATGAAAAGATGTTAAACATTGCTTATTATAAGAGAAATGCAAATCAAAACCACAATGAGATATCACATGCCTATTAGGATGGCTACTATCAAAAGAACAGAGAATAACAAGTGTTTTCACGAGGAGGGGGAGAAACCGTGCACTGCTGGTGGGAATGTAAAATGGTGCGGCCATTATGGAAAACAGTACGGAGGTTTCTCAAAAAACTAAAAATAGAACTACCATGTAATCCAGCAATTATGTATTCACTTCTGGGTGTATATTCAAAATACTTTAAAGCAGAATTTCAAAGAAGTATTTGCACATTCATGTTCGTTGCAGCATTACTCACAACAGCCGAGAGATGGAAACAACCTGAGTGTCCCTCAACAGCCTAATGGGCAAAGAAATATGGTATTCTACACAATGGAATATTATGGAGCTTTAAAAAAGAAGGAAATCTTGTCACATGATCCAACGTGGATAAACCTCAAAGACATGATGTTAAATGAAATAAGCTAGTCACAAAAAGACAAATACTGTATGAGTCCACTTATGCGAAGTAGTCAAATTCACTTAGCTCAGTTGGTTAGAGAGCAGTGTTACAACACCAAGGTCAAGGGTTTGAATCCCCATGCCAGCCAGCCACCGAATAAATAAATAAAGT